TCTCCGTTGTTTCTCTTTGACCCTGTTCTTTGACTCATGCTTCAGTTTGCCTCAGTCTTCAGACTGCAAGCAAGAAAGAGAAAAGGAAAGGTGACCGGTGTAGGAACAGTGATTCTGTGTGGCAAACCCGGAATTTACTTCTCCTGGCTGGGGATTGGGAACTAAAGTATGTGAGTGCTGAGTGCACGAGGTAACATCTGCTGACTTCATGAGAATGAAGCCACTTGGCCGAGAGCCCGGAAAGATAAGAGAGTGCGCTGTTAGCAAAATACATTCGTGTATGAGAGGGAGGGAGGAGGAAAAGGGGGAAGAGATTCTTAATAAATACTCTTGAAGCCGAGACAGCGACACACAGCTTCTGCAGATTTTGTGCCGTGTCGTTCTTTGTTCTTTGAACTCCTGCAGCCTTCAGACCGGACTTCAGAAAACTTGTCTGGTTTTGGAGGGACATGGGAGAAACATTTACTGGCACTATTCTTGGTTGTACCCTGACGTGAATGGGCCAGGCTAACCCTGTCTCATCAGATGAATGTTAATGGTTTTAATGACTGTGCTGTGTATTTTATCTTGATATTTATACGATTGTTTTATCTACTGTTTCTTATGTAAGCTGCCCTGAGCCTGCCTCAGTGGGGAGGGTGGGGTCAAAATAAAATAAAATAAAATAAATAAATATCAGAAGATAAGCAGGGTAGGCCTTTGTTAGCTTTTGGATGGGAGAATGCCAAGAAAGTCCAGGGTTACGATGCAGAGGCAGGCAATGGTAAACCACCTCTGTAAACCACCTCCCACCTCCCACCTCCCAGAGGCAGGCAATAGTAAACCACCTTGAAAACTCTATGGTGACCATAAGTTGGCTGTGACCAATGTTCCCTCTAAGCTGTGGAGTCCTGTGAGCAAAAATTCTACTTTGTGAGTTACTGGCATCAAAGTTGTGAGCAAGTGATTTGGCTACTCCATAAATTAGTTTGCTCTGGAGCCATCCTTCATGAGCTAAGACAAAAATGTCTGAGCTGGAGGCTAAAAAACTGTGAGCTAGCTCACACTGACTCAGCTTAGAGGGAACATTGGCTGTGACTTGATGGCATTTCCCACCATCATTCTTGGCTGCATGGTTTCTGTGTACCTGCAAGATTGTGATTCATTTTTCAACGATAAATGATTGAACCACCTGTCTTCAGGTATCTTTTTTGCCTACAAGGGATAGCCTAGCTGGTTGCTATCAGCTTTGAGCAAGGACCACAATGCTGTCCTGGCGTCAATGGATCCAAGTCTTCGCTAATTTAGAAGACTAGTAGCACATTATAAAAGCAGGGATCTTGCAAAGAGACATGGATATGCCATAGCATTAATCCCCAATGGGATTCCTCTTGCCCACCAGTCTCTTTCCTAGTACTCATTTCCTTCTTCCCCACAGCATCAATTTCCCAAAGTAAAGAACATAATCCTGCCTTTTCCTCCACCTTACTGGAGAACCCAGGAAATGTCACTGTTGTGTCTACAGGTCCAATCTGCATTGGTATTTTCCACCACTGTGCCTTCAATTTCACACCGTCTCACAAATTCCTGTCTACATTGCATGCCGTCATCGCCTTCCTATTGCATCGACTCAGCATTGGCTGTCTGCATCATCTTATTGCCCTGTAGTGGCCACTCCAAGGTCACTGCATCATCCCACTGTGTTACCTGGACCTCATTTAAAGCAGTTCCAATTGCTCCTCCCCGCCCTCGAGATGCTGTGAGCAAAAAGCAGACAACTGGAACCAAATTCTCCCCCCCCACACACACCAGTCGTCTGTGTGTTTAAAAGCAGCCAGGGAACATTTTCCTGCAATCATACTTTTTTTTGCTGGTGGGTTAGAAGCATGCCCACCCAGCTTGCTCATTTTCCAGTCCCCCTCTGCCCCTCCACCAGGTCACCCCCCTTTACTTTCTGCAGGGCAGTCATGGGTGCCGTTCCCCCCCCCAGTGTAGTGCCCTGCTGGCACCCCGGGAGGCCTCCCCCCTCTCGCACGCGCTTTCCCTCCTTGCGCCCCCACGGTTGCCATGGTGAGGACTGATGCAGACAGGTAGCCTTTAATCCGAGCCAGAATGGGAGGGAAGCCAGAACTGGAGGGAAAGGGGAACAGAGTACAACGGCACCGCAGCAGACTGAATGTGCTTTACACAGCAGATGCAGATTCAGCCTTTAAGGACTACCCATTCAAAAACAGTTTCTGGTGGGTAGCCATTTTGGTGAGCATCAGGTTTGAGTCCAGGAGCACCATAAAGACCAGCACATTTTTTGAGAAATTCCCAGAGATTTGGGGGCAGTGCCTGAGGAGGCTGAAGTTTGGGGAGGGAAGGGAGCTGAGCAGGGATTTGATGTCAGAGAGTCTGTCCTTTAAGCTGCCATTTTCTTCAGGCACGGTTCCCATTCACCAGGCAGGGATGGGGGATCCCCCGATTTTTGGGGCTCCTGTCTGCCTGGGGAAACCCCGCTCCAAACAGCGACATTGCACGGCAATGTCCCTGAAGCGATGAGATCACACAGAAGTGACATCATCACGCCACGTGGCGACGCTCTGCTTTTTGGGCAAAACTCTATGGTGTGAGGGCAATTTCGCCATAGAGATTCGCCCAAAAAGCAGAGTGTCACCACGTGACATCCCTGATGTAATGACGTTACTTCATCATGTCGGGGACGTCACGTGATGTTCCCTCCAGGAATCCCCCCCAAATCTCCCTGCCGGCGTGAAGGTAAGACCTGGCAACCCTACCTTCAGAAGAACTTCTCTCTGTATTCTGGAGATCAGTCGGAATTCTGGGAGTCCTCCAGGCCCTCTCTGGAGGGTCACAACCCTAGAACCACCTCCATGGATTAGAATTGCACAAGTAGCAGACACACAAGGGAGAATCTCATTCTTCTCCTTTCCCCAGCGGCCCTCTTTCTCCCACTCCCCACTGCCTTCTCTTGCTTCTCCTGTCCCCCTACAGAATTTTTCCCCTCCCTTTTGGAACCCCCCTCACTTCCCCTGCATCCCCTTTTCACTCCATCCTCATTCTCCAGCTTTGCCTCCCCCTCAGGCTCCTCCTGCTGGGCTCACCTGGCTATGTTCGCTCGCTCATTCTCCGTATGACCTCACTTGATGCAGTAGAAAAGCGCAAGAGTCCAGGAGCACCTTAAAGACTCACAACATTTGTGGTAGGGTATGAGCTTTTGTGAGTCACTGCTCACTTCCTCAGGTACTTTCAGATTCAGAAAGAATGAATGGTTTTTTCACCTGCATGGTTAATGAGGGGTTTCACCTCCCCATATCCCAAATCCACCCCACGGTTATTTGTCCTGAAAGATCCATCCACATCTCTCAATGTCACACAGGGGTAGTTTCGTAGAAAAAGAGCTAGGGGAACTCATTAGCATAACTCATTAGCATATGCCACACCCCCTGACATCAGGGGCCCAGCAGTGAACCTGCAAGGCCGGCGGGAGTGCGAGGAAGCCCCGCCAAGGCCCTCCCTGGCCCCAGGCAGGCAGGGGTGGGGAGAGGCAGGGAGGAAGCAACTTACCCTCCCTCTTCTCCTGCCTCCTCCTGGCTGAATGAGGGCTGGAAGCGGGGCAGCCGGAAGCAGGGGGCGGGGCTTCATCATGTGCCCCACCCCCCTGCATCTCACCTGGGGGAACTGCGTTCCCCCGCGATCCCCCCCGAAATGACCTCTGAACTGATACCTCTTTGTTGTTGTTCAGTCGCACAGTCGAGTCCAACTCTTTGCAACCCCATGGACCAGATCATGCCAGGCCTTCCTGTCTTCCGCCGTCCTCTGAATACCGATACCTACCTACCTCCAAGTAAATGAGAAACTGCCTTGATATCTTTCTGTAACTCCAAAGGAATCTTGAGTGTATGCAAATGTGAGACTGATTTTGTATGTGTGATTTTGATATTGCTTGGGAGAAAGCCTTCTCAGCCATGGCACCAGAGTTCTGAAACTCTCTCTCTTTAAGGAGATTCACCTGCATCCTTCTGTTGCCATCTTCTACCTGCTAAGAACATAAGAGAAGCCAATGTTGGATCAGGCCAATGGCCCATCCAGTCCAACACTCTGTATCACACAGTGGCCAAAAATACCAGTGCCATCAGGAGGTCCAGAAGTGGGGCCAGGACACTAGAAGCCCTCCCACTGTTGCCCCCCCCAAGCACCAAGAATACAGAGCATCACTTGCCCCAGACCAAGAATTCCTATCTATCCCTTGTGGCTACTAGCCACTGATAGACCTCTGCTCCTTTGCTTCTTACTTGCCTTGAAAGCCCCTTACTGGGGTTTCCATAAGTCAATTGCAACTCGACAGTGTGTGTATATACCTAAGTTCCTGTTAACTCACTGGTTTATTTAAGCCTGTTAAGTGTGTCTTGTTAGAAGTGCAAGAGTTGTCATTAATAGCCCAAAGTCTCTGGAAATCAAATCTTAGACTGTGGAGTGGATGCATGTTATCACTAATGTGCATGCATGCAGGTATGTTAGTATCACTCATTACCTAAGATATATGGGGAGACTGTAATTTTTACTCACAAAAAGACTATGATGAGTGTTCTATCATGTGTGGGTGTGAATATGTTGACATTACCTTATTGTGTGCTATACTTATTTTAATACAACCCCTTAAGATAAAACCCTTTGCTTTATTGTCTCTTTTCAGTTGCGTTATTGGTTGCTGGCTGTGGCTGGTTATGGCCAAGCAGGGCCCAGACTAGGCCTTGCTTATATACTAATAAAATTCTGTTCTGTTTTGACAGGAAGTGGTGGCGGCTACAAGCATGGACAGCTTCAAAATGGAATTAGATATGCATATGGAGCAGAGGTCCATCAGTGGCTATTAGCCACAAGGTATAGATAGGGGCTCTGGGGCAAGTGATTCTCTGTCATCTTGGTGCTTGGGGGGGTCAACAGTCGGAGGGCTTCTAATGTCCTGGCCCCACTGGTGGACTTCCTGATGGCACTGGTATTTCTGGCCACTGTGTGATACAGAGTGTTGGACTGGATGGGCCTTTGGCCTGATCCAACATTGGCATCTCTTATGTTCTTATGTTACCAGGTACTGTGGAGTTACTACAATGAGAATAGTGTGGCTCCAATTATAACTGAATTCTTCAAACCTGTTCTATGTATCACCAAAAATACAGGAATCAGCCCCCAATCATTGGGGTCTTTCACACACCACATTGCTTGATTAGTCTCATCTGAGACTTAAATTCGCCACAACTGAGTTTCCTCATGGTGGCAGTTTTGTTTGTTCAAAAACCTTGTAGAGTCTCAGTGCAAAAGGTCCTTAAGGGAAGAGAAATGCTCTGGGATTCAGATGAAGGAAAAAAAACCTGGGATCATCACGCACACACGCAACTTTATAAGAACTCCAGAAGAATCAAGGTTATCACAGCTCAATGAACCAGCAGTAAGTGGTGAGCAGTCTTTGAACGTTCTCCCTTCAAGATCACACCTGCTTCCACCAAGAATGCTA